ATAATGACCTTTATCACAATATGCTAATTTTTTGAGAAGGACCTGTATATATATATATATATATATAATTTATTTATTAGGGATGAGGCCGATCCGGTATCGGCCTCCGATACCAGCAAATTTACGTGTCGGATTTTTCCGATCCATGATGCATGTTGGCTTTAAACTACATGTAAACATGTCCACTTTGTGGAAGTATTTTACACTAGAAACACCACAAAAGAAGACAGCAACATGCAATGTCTGCAGAGCCATAGCGCCACATTAAACCACGTTAAAGTTAGTTTTACTTTGGACATTCGAGCTCCATGGCTTCAGCGGGGCGCTGCTCTTTGCTCAAGTGGAAAGAGTCGTCTCGACACCAGCCAGCCGCGTCCAATCTGCCCTGCTCAGTCTTCCCGTCTCTGAGGAGGGACAGACTGAGCGCGGCTGCCCCAAATCAGGCTGCCTGCTTCGGACTGAACAAGAAGACGTCGCTGAAACCACGGAGCTCAAATGTTTACAGAGAAGTTGCTAAACTTCATCATTATTAATGACCAACCACTAACAGTTGTAGAAAATGAAGAATTTCACAGTTTGATACTTGCATCCAAGATATAGTTGACCCTCCAGGAGATATTCATCAGTACAACAGTAAACAATCATAAAAACATATGATTTGAAAATTATATTAAAAACATAAACAGCTACATTATAAAGTGATGTAAAATGCTAAAAACGAGAACATGTCTGTTGGTTTATGCCATGAACTTAGCAGGTGTTTGAAGCCATTTAACATTTATTTTAATTTAATTCATTCATTTAAAAGAAACAAAATTTAAAAAAAAATCATGAAAAAGAAAACATCGAATGAAAAGAGTGCAGAAAGAAGAAAAAAAATTCTTACATCTGCCCCTTATTTAAAAAATATAAAATAAATTTAAACAATCACTTAAAATTAATCACTTTAATATCCACTTTAAAGCTAGGAATAAAAAGAAACATGTTTTGTGTTAGCAGAATTTTATTCTAACTTTAAAACTTATCCAACATTAATAAAACTTACCTCATGTTGCCTTTTTGGACATGCATGCATATATTTGTACAAATTGTACTTGAGAGGAAATTATTACAGCCTCATATCAAATCAATGATGATCATATCGGAACTGGATCGGTATCGGCCGATACTCAGACTTAGGTATCAGGACCGGATCGGAAGTTTAAAAAAGTGGATTGGTGCATCCCTAAAATATATCAATATTTTTTCTTTCCATAAAGTAATAATAAAAATACATTTCTTGCATCAAAGCTTTGTCCTAATTGTCACACAGGCACATTTATTAACAAACAGCTGTAACTACAAAATAAATGTTTAAAAAATAAATTATTTTACATATATTAAATAATAATCCTCTTCAGCTGCGCTGCCTTCACAACGTTATTAAGCATGTGTGAAGCAGCACGTGAGGGTGTGTTTGTATTCAGTGAGAGAGAAGGATGGGTCGCCTGCAGTTGGCACAGACGGGAGAAAAAGAACTGCACAGATGAAAATCTTATATTCGATGGTTGTGATAGAGCCATTTTAACCATTGTGAATTGAAAAACTCGCGATACATCAAGCATATTCTATACATCGCCCAGCCTATACTTTAAGCTCCATCCGGCAAAGAAGAAGTCAGATGTGAACACCATCCAGAACTGCTGCCGTCTTCTCTGGACCAAAGGAGAACTGTTCTGAGGTCAGACAAATACAAATCTGGAGTTCTGTTTGTAAACCATGGACGCCACGTCCTCTGTACTAAAGAGAGTGTTTTCAGCTCACAGGTCACAATACAGAACAGTGTGTACAGGTTTTTAAAACAACACATGCTACCAGCCAGCAAAAATAAATGCAGCAAAGAAGCCTCAGGACTGTGGGACAGCTGAAGTCCTCCATCAGACCTCAACGGGACAAGATTCCCTTCAAAAACCTGGTTTCCTCTAGACATGTATAGACTGTTGCTAAAAGGAGAGGGGGTGACGGAGGCCATCACAGGGGTCAATGTAGACCTGCTTCACTTTTTAAAGACCTGTTTCTGCCATAAAACTCAAACTTGCTTTTTTTTCTCTCTGAAATTAATGTTTAAACATTTGATATGTTAACAATGTTCCACTGAAAATAAAATGAGTTTCTGAGATTAGCCAATCATTGCAGTCGATTTAATTTTTATTTTGTACAAACATGATTATTATTATTTTTTTTCAGAATTGGGGGTTTTGTAGCTTCTCTTCTCAGTTTTAGACGTTAACGGTGCCTGTGGTTGTTTTATTGTGTTAGCTGAACGTTGAGTAAGTTTTCATCATGTTTGATGACAAAAGAGGTCTGGATCCCATTTTTAAACCCATTTCCACAAAAGCAACATCGTGTTTGTATTTGACTACAGATTTGAAGTCAGTTCTAATTAAATTATTATCCAACTTAATTTTTAAATATTTTACAGAAATTGGTTATAGAAGTGTTTCATTCGTGATGTATTAAAAGTCCCAATTATTTAAACTGTTCAAAGTATTGAGATCTGTTTTTCAGCTCATAACTCGTTCCTCAGTTTTTGTTCTATTTCACGATTCATGTCTCAAAACGTTCAGGACATTCCTGCAGGGACTTTTGGTATTTGTGCAATTTTAACTTAGAAATATTTAGCTTCGTCGGCCATGTTTCTCTCATTGAAAATGAACAGCTCTTTTCACATCCTTCAAACCCTTTGAGCTGTTTACAGCCTGTTACTGATCGTTTCAGCTTCTTTCTGCTTTTACAGCTGCATTTTAAGTATTTTATTCTTTTTTAATAATTTCTGCTTTTTGCGCTTCTTTCTAATAATTTCACATTTTTATGATTTTTTTTCAAGCCTTTTCTCATTTCAGCTCAGTTTTTCAGTTAGTTTTTGCTAAATTCAAAATTTTTGTAATATATTCAGCCTCTGCCCACAACACCTGCGAAGGATCCCTGGGTCCCTGCCACGTCGCCCGCGCCTCCTCCTGCCGCCTCTGTGACCTCCTTCCTCCGGAGGAAAGGCAGAGGAGAGCAGCCTAGTTTAAGGCTAACGTCGAGGACTGCCTGTCCGTGGCGGGAGACTGTTTGCTGGACGATGCGATCGACTTCTTCGACGCCGGCTCTCGGAGCGAATCGGATGGTTCCTCTGGGACAGGCGACGTCAGCAGCAGCCCCGATGCTTGCTCCCTCCCGGAGAGCGTAGTGTTGGAACGAGGGGGGCCGAGCGGATGCTCAACCCCTCCGGGCTTTCCCGCCTCAACAGCCACATCGCTCCCTGCCGTCGTTGCCCTCCTCTCGGAGCTGCCCGACATTATCCGGGAAGCTGCTGACACGAAGAGACTTTACGTCCCTCTTCTCCCCCCGCCCAGATCGGATGATCTAGCGGGAAGGTTTGGCTCCACCCCGGCTCGCCGTCCTGATCCCATCTGGCCTCGTTTTCCAGCAGTGGCATCCTACTGGAACGAGGCTGCGGCCGGTCCTGGTAAATTAAGAGCGCCCGTCTCCACTTTCGCTCCCATCACCAGAGTGGAGGGGTTCACCCAGCTGAACTTTTTCTCTGTACCACCCCTGGAGGCGAGCCTGGCAGAAGCTTTCGGAGCAAAGCTGTCCAGGTTGGAGCAGTGTCCCGTCCCTCCTGGGAAACATGACCAGACGCTGGCTATGCTCTCCAATCGAGCTCACCAGTGTGCGTTTTAGGCAGCCGCAGCAAACAACAACATGGCGCTGTTGGCGTACAGCATGTCCAAGAGGCTAGAGACCACAGATCTGCCTGAGGAGATGAAGAGCTCCCTTTGCAAGGCATCTGACGTCATCCTCAACATGTGCGCCTCTTCTGCGGTCTGCCTGTCCCGAATTGCAGCGTGGATGACAATGATTCAGAGATCCACCTGACTCCGTCATTCCCCCTCTCTGCTGGAAAAACTACACAAAGACCTGATGGAGGGCCCCATCACGACAGACGCGCTGTTCGGGAGCAGTTTCAAGGCCCGCTGGAAGGATCGTCGTGAGCAGTGACAGCAACAACGACGTTCCACGGCCGCAGCAGCGTCGTCTCGCTCCGCTCCACTGCCAGCCCCGCTTGTCAGAGACCAGCGAACATGCTCGCCAGACAGATGGATGACCAGGTTGTTAAGCAGGGGTTACACGCTGCAATTTGCAGCCCGACCCCCTCCATTCGGAGGAGTTTTAGAGACAGTCCTGTCATCACCAGACCAGGTCTCATCCCTAAATGCAGAAGTCCAAGAACTTCTGGTAAAAGAGGTGATCTCCAGGGTTCCCGACGGAGAGGAAAACACAGGTTTTTACTCACGTTACTTCCTGGTTCCAAAACGGACCGGAGGAACGAGACCCATTTTGGATCTGTCAGTTTTCAACAAGGCGATCATGGACAGACCGTTTCATATGTTGACAACCAGACAACTGTTGGACAACATCCAGAGAAACGACTGGTTTGTTTCCATCGATCTAAAAGATGCCTACATCCACATACTGATCATCCCAAAACACAGAAAATTTCTGTGCTTCTCCTTTCAAGAGATGCAGTACCAGTACAACAGGCTGCCGTTCGGGTATTCCCTCGCGCCTCATACATTCTCAAAGTGTGTGGAGACGGCCCTGCAACCATTACACAGAGCAGGGATAAGAGTTTTGTTTTACCTAGACGACCTGCTGCTGCTGTCACGCTCCAGACAGGAAGCAGCGATGCAGGCTCAGGTGTTGACATCACACCTGTTAAATTTGGGCTTCGCCATAAATTGGAGAAAAAACTCGATTCTCCCGGCCCAGACGATTGTTTATCTGGGAGTGGAGCTAAACTTGACCACCATGAGGGCTTGTTTATCACAGACGAGAATCAATGCTCTAAGAGTCCAGCTCCGCCACGTAAGACCGAGTAGAGTAGTAACAGCTGTTTCTGTCATGAAGCTGTTAGGAACGATGTCGTTCAGCTCACACAGTGGTCCCGCTGGGTTTACTACACATGAGATGCCTCCAAAGATGGTTTGCTCGTCTGCGCGTGGATCCGGTAAAGCAAAAGAGACAGATGATCACTGTTCCTCCCTCCGTGAGAACAGACCTCCGACACTGGGAAAACACCCTGGTTCTGTCGGAGGGAGGCCCCGTCAGCAGACCCACGTCACACGTGTCAGTCTTCACAGATGCGTCGTTGTCAGGTTGGGGGGGGACATGCCTATCTCGAGCTGTAGGGGCATTGTGGCTCCATCACACAACAGCTCATATAAATGTTCTGGAGTGTCGCACGGTTCTGAACGTGATTCAACACTTTGCTCCTGTGCTACAGAATCAACACGTTTTGATTCACACAGACTACAAGTTTACTGCTGCTTTCATAAACCGGCAGGGGTGTGTGCGCTCAACCCAAATGTTACACATTGCGAGAAAACTACTGTGTTGGGCACATCAAAATCTGCTCTCTCAGAGCAGTGTACATCCCCGGTGTTCTAAACAAATGGGCAGATGTTATGTCCAGGGGCGGTCCGCGTCACGGGGACTGGACCCTCCATCCAGATCTGATGGCCCAGACATGGCAGAAGTTTGGCAAAGCGGCTGTGGACCTGTTTGAGACACAAGAGAACGCTCACTGCCAACTATGATTCTCACTGAGCCCACGAGACGAACCACCGCTGGGGGTGGATGCATTTGCTCACAGCCCATGGCCCAAAACGCTTCTTTACGCGTTTCCCCCATATCCTCTGATATTACGGTTTCTGAACCGAGTTCAGGAGGAGGGATTGACAGCTCTCCTGGTGGCTCCCGAGCGCGTGAACGCACCATGGTTCCCAGTTCTACAACGCCTGTTATCAGGGCGCCCGTGGAAACTGCCGTGGAGGGAGGACGCTCTCCTCCAGGTGGGAGGAGCAATCAGGAGTTACCCAGAAATAGGCCAGCACCTGTGGGTCTGGCCGCTGAGTGGATCCGCTTAGAGAGGATGGGTCTCCCGCAAGATGTAGTGCGCACAATCCAGGATTCACGTGCTACATCCACCACAGCGCTGTACACATCAAAGTGGACAGCTTTTCAGCGCTGGTGTACAGAGAAAGGTGTAGAGGCCACCTCATGTCCACTAGGTGGCATGCTGTCCTTTCTGCAGCAGCTGATGGACAGAAATTTGGCGTTCAGCATGATTAAACGTACGCTGCAGCCATCTCTTCCTGTCACGAAGGTTTCGGGGACAGAACAGCTTTTAATCATCCGCTGATTAAGTGCTTTTTAAAAGGTGTACAGAGACGCAGGCCTGTTTCACACCCACTTGTTCAACAGTTGAATTTAACGCTGGTCCTGCGAGCCCTGATCAAAGCTCCATTTGATCCTCTGGATCAGGTTCCAATTAAATTCTTGTCTCTTAAAACAGCCCTGCTGCTGGCTTTAATATCCGCTAAGAGGGGGAGTGATTTATCTGCCCTCTCTGTCACTCCGGCATGTCTCAGAATTCAGGCTGACGGCAGCTCAGCTGATCTAAGACCAAATCCAGCTTTTATGCCTAAAAACATTACAAGCTCTTTTAAATCAAGAGCGATATCGTTGGAGGGTTTTTTCCCTCCCTCCTACAAATCAGAAGAAGAAGCATCTTTCCATCTTCTCTGTCTTGTGCGGGCGTTGACGTGTTACATAGCGCGCACAGCTGCAATACGTCAAACTCAACATTTGTTTGTGCATTATAGAGGTGCATCTGCAGGTCGCCCGTTATCCACCCAGTGCCTGTCACACTGGCTGTGTTAGGCCATTTCTGGAGCCTACAGAGCATCAGATTTAGAGCCTCCTGTCAACCTCAGGGCGCACTCGACCAGAGGTATCGCATCTTCGACTGCTTTGCATAATGGTATGACAATGCAGGATATTTGCACTGCGGCCGCGTGGTCAACACCCTGCTCATTTATTCACTTCTATATACGTGATGTGACGGCTCGTCCCATGACACATTCTGTCTTTAGTGTTTTAACAGAATGAATATTGTTGTTTCATTGAACCCCGTTTAAACTCACACCTGTCTGCATGCATTACAATGTGAGATGTTATCAGTCACAAGTTGTCCTGATGCATGCTCAATAATCCAGGTAGAAAAATCTAAAAAAGTTAAATCTGGTCCTCTGGACATT